ATTCAGTTCAAAGACGAGTTGCGCGTGTTTTGGCACCGCGCTAAATGCCGCAATTGGGCCAATTTGCACTGTTTACGGCTTGAATCGTTGCGCTCTCGCGACACAGTGATATTCCGATTCAGTCCTTAATCTGAATGACAATGAACCTACAAATAGGATGACACCGCGCGTATTTAACAAGCACACAATGGCATGGTAATCCGGCTGCATTTAACTGAAGGTGTCACTTTCCCACCAGCACCTGCGAGTTTCCACGCAACCAGCCTCCTCCTGGGGGCTTCTCACTCACGGGCAGCCGTAGGGGTGGGACAGGGGCGAAGGCCGGCGTGTTTACGAGTTAAAATATTTGATATTAGATTGTAAAACAAATTTATGTAAAAACAAATGAAAAAATGTGGTTTGTGTACATTAAAGGACGTGAAAATGATCCGTCAATATTAATTCAAAGCGACAATAAAGTAACGTGTGCTTCTTTGTAACCAGACACACATCTCTTACGGGAATAAAATATTTTGATTTTTTTTCCACGTTTCCGATTTTTCATATTTTATTGTTGTTTCTCGTGTTTTCTTGATTTATTTCAAATTATCTTTTACGTCACAACACGAAAATCATCCGGCTAGAAAAAAAGGTCTTCGACTTATTCTAGTGACAGACCGCTGTTTAAGCTGTGCATGAGTTTATTTCTGCTCTCCGCTTGACCCAGATATCGCCCCAGTGTCCACTAAGAGTGCAATCCCCCCAATTTTTTTTTTCAAAGAATGAAAGAAATGAGTTGAAATATTTTTTTCTTTTCCTACCGGCAACACAAGCAGCTGATCTGGGGGGAAACTATTAAAGGGAAGATGGAAAACAGTGGCTGTAAGAAGGAGACCTAAACTTGAGACTGGGAAATCAATAGAAAGGCGTGGGGTGTGTCCCCTTAAACGTGATATTATCGCTCAATCGATCCCCATTAAAAATATAAAATCGCATTAGCATCCAAAAACGGCCCGTGAATGAGCTGTAAATGGTAAAGTGAGTAAAGGCACGACGTTTCATGGATCACCTGCTGCAACTGCGCAGCCTGACCTGTTGAAATGTGTCTTTATACAGACGCGTCAAACAGATGGGACGTCCAACAAAACACAAACACACACACACACAGTGAGAGAGAGACAGCATACACGCTCGGATCTTTGGCTTCCATTCTAGGTCCTTTTTTCTTGCTTTTGACGTGACATGTGAGAGATTTGGCTGCGGCCGATCCAGCAGGAGGGAGGGTTAAAAAATGAGCTCCATCATATTGTTTGACAGAAACTCGCAGGTTGATAGAGTGGATTCTGAGAAGGGCTGAAAATGGTGATTTCCAAAAGAGAAGAGGAAGAAACGAACACAAAAAAGAGGAGGGGAGGTGAAAAGCTGTCATACCTGCCTTCTGGATTTTACGACTAAAATGTGAAAAAAAAATCCAGTTCTGGGGAAGAAGAATGTGTAAAGTTTTGTTGTGATATTCTAATATTGAGCTATTTCGTTTTTTATTTAATGTGACAATCCAAAGATCTGACTGACTGCTGTGAAATAATTAACATAATGGTAATAAGAATGTATCAGTTTATCGTCACATTGGGGGTCGCATGCTGCCCCTAGAGATGCACTCTGTCACCTGATCAGTGAGCTGCCCTTAAAGATCTGGTTTTGCGGTAAATCCGTGCAAGAATGTGAATTATTTAGCCCGCTTCAATGTAAAGTTGCATTTTTGAGCATTAATATTGTCATGTTTGCATCATGCACAACGTTTTATTCTTCCAAAGACGCCCTCAAGACATGCAAATGAATAATTATATAAAATAACATTTTACAAATGTATAGATGTCTTAAGCATATTTTGCAGGGAAATAAAGATCCTGGTTTCACCAGTGCGCACGCGAGGTTTTACGCCAAAGTTACTTTTGAGAGTTTTACAGGAAAAGCTGTTACAAAGCTGTTTGTACTCCGAATGTTTTTGTGTGCCAGTTGGGATGTTATTAGGACAGCACTTCCAAAAAACCTCCAGTGGTTTTCTGCTCTAAAAAGCCCTGACGCCTGTGTCAGGAAATGATCGAAAATTAAAAATATAATACGGCCATACTTTTAAATATTTATATTAATACATTTATATAAACATATAATTTGTATATATTTATACAACTTACAAATACTTTGTATACCAGAAAATTACAACTATTTTTAAAATAATTCACCCCTTCATTATTATTATTATTATTAGTATTAGTATTAGTATTAGTATTATCCATCACAAAATAAGCATGCTGTCCAATCTGGTAGACTAAATAAAAATAAATTATGAGTCACATATCTTCACCTTTTTTTCCCCTCGCCACCAAATTTTGATAATAAGCGTCTCCTGTCACCTTTATTCATTCAGACAAAATCAGCTCTGTAGCAGTCTGAGGCGTTAGCCTCGCCAGAGTGTCTCTGAGCAACGCACTCCTCCAACCTCCCAGCTTCTGCAGGTGACCTCTGAACCCAGGGATAGACGCACGAGGACGGGGCAGAAAGCAGGAATCGCGGGAGCATAATGCCTTATTATGATGACAATTATTTGTTCGGTGACCTTGCTGGTAGAGCGTGCACTCATCACATGTGCTGGCTCTTTCCTCTCCATCACCTGTGCTGCCTCAACCGCCGCCGCTTCTGCTGCTCCACCGCCATCTCCTCTTCCCACCTCCACCCAGCCACCCCCACACTCCTGCTTGCACTCGTTGGTTTCATGCAGGAACGAGATGGCTTATTACACTAAAAGGTTTTGTCGCGCTAAGCCGTGCATGCGTGCTTAAAACGTACTTTTCATTAACAAACTGCGGAGGTATAAAAGCGGATTTATGAGGCTTCAAAAGATCACAGGAAGGACGGGTTTGAAACCCCCTCTCGGTGCTTTTGCAGTCAGGTTATATCAGCAGTTACGCCGCCTTTCACACAACACTGCAACTCCGGTATTTTTTATTTTTTATTTTTAATGAAGGCTTGCTGCACCTGCCTTTCCTCAAAGAGGGGGGTTAGGACAGTTGTTCTGCGATCATCTGATTCTTTAAAGTAAAACAAAAATATAAGAAAACTGTAAAAATAAATAAATAAATAAACCCAAACATCTGCTATACCCACGTGTCTCTTATTTTGCTCCTGTAAAAGATTTCTTCCGTAAGAAGACAAAGAAAAGGAGGATTCTTGATTGGGCCCAACATGAGTTATTCTGCTGTTAAACGCCCGAATGTAAAGAAAGAAAGAAAAGAACGAACTTTGATGGAGAAAGTTTTCCTTTTAAAAAGAAAAAAAATATAGTGAAAAAAATCTGTCAATTAAAACGCAACTATATATCTTTTAAAAAATTGTTTTTAATCTGACAAATCCACAAAGCAAATAAGCGATTCCTTAAATACACTCTCGCCGCGCGGATGAACAGGATGAAAGTTGACGCGAGCCTCTGGATTCATCTCCTAAGTAGCCCCGGTATTGACGGACCTCCAGATCGCGCGGGTCAACGAGAGATTAACGCGGAGCCAGTCCGATCGGAATCCACGATTCCGTCCTTTTGACCCGAACACACAGGCATTATTAATGATAGTGTTTTAATTTAATCCCACTTTTAGCTTCGCCAGCTCAGGTGCCGGAGAAGAGGCGCTGTGAACTGCAGAAGGCACTTAAGGGATCAAATGTATCCCCCCAAATTATACAAATTAAGTACAATAATATTAACAATAATAATAATAATAATAATAATTCAGTGTTGTATCGTTAATTTTATTTGAATAAAGCCCTGACATTAAGTACCTGGCTCGTGCTGATTTTTAGGTATTTCCTCCTGAGAGGTTCCAGAAAACGGGTGTACGTTCAAGGCGCCTATGTCAAGCTCGAAAATGTCTAAATTGCTGTTTTTATTTTAACACACAAACGTTAAGATAAGCCGCTTTGACAAACGGCCTAAATACAGCAGCTCGTGCTTTCCAATCAGTCCCAGATTTTCGCACGCGACGCAGGAAGCCTTGTGTAAAGGACCTGACGTGCCCCCTCTGTCAGAGCTCAGCCTGCACCGCTCACCTTCACGCTTTTGTGAATAAACGTTCTCTTTGCACTCACCCGCTGCCCGCATTTCCTACTTTTTTTTTTCAAATGCAAAAACTCGGGGTGACTCGGACACGGGGGAGGGGGGGGGGTCGTTAGCACCTCTTCCAAACTCTGAAGGAAATTCTGCATTCGTCCCATTCATCGTCGCTGCTGCCGCTTCTTCAATATTCTTCCCACCTCGGCTAAATCCTGCGGGAATAAATAGACTGGAATTCATGCTTTGCATTCGCTGCTTGGATTTACGCAACCGGGCTTTAAAGCTGGGAGCACCGAGGCATGCAATTCCAGCACCGAATGAACAGAGCAAGCAAAAATATCAATAATAAAAAACATGTCTAACGTATCCTTTCGAGGAGAGTTACATGCTACGCTAAAATAAAGTGTGGAGATTAAAAATAAACTACGCATGCACAATTAAACAGTTTCTATAAATATATAGAAGTCAAGACATTCATGAACTTGAAGGAAGATTCCGTTAACTTAGCTGTTGTCGTTTTCATTCTGCAGCTGTCAGCAGAGTTCGCGTTAGCAAAGTTAAAGCTTTGGTTTGTTTTTTAACGCGGTCACATTATTGCGCGTCAGATCTTTCAATCACGCGAGCCAATTTTCTCCCCCTCCTTCTCTTCCTCCTCCCTCTGCCACCGTTAAATGGTCTATGACGGACGAACACAAAAATAAGCGGAAAGCAGCACTGCTGATGTCCCATTGTTGACAAATCCATGAAACAACTCCAGTTTGCATGGTTTAACAGAGAGGAGAGGAGAGGTGGGTGGAGGGAGGAGAGGAGAGGAGAGTGGAAAGAGGACAGGGGGGCGTCTGTCGTCACCAAACCACGTGTCCAGCGCTGATAGTATATCTTATAGTGGGGAGGGAAAGTAATCTATCAGACAGTCTTGTTAAAAGCCCCGGCCTTTTTAAGAGCAGCATGTGTCATCTCGGCTCGGTTCTCCAAATATCGCTCGTCCAGGAAATCTAAGCACTGAGAAGGGACGTCGGAGCGCAAAAGTCGCGCTGTCTGCAAAACAACTTCGAGGCGAGACGCGCTGCTCCGCGGGCCTGCTCACTGACCGAGTGGAGAAATATTTGTAGAAGTTTGAAGTTCCTTGTCGGCTGGACTGGCAGGCGTCCGGTTCGATCACATTTAGATTTTTGGGGAGGGGAAAGCATCCGATCTGTTGACAATTAGCAGCGCGAGCGCACTGATCGCGCGGCTGCTCTGTCTTTTTCGGCTGCAGTGAGACTTTTTTTAATAAAAAAAAAAATAAAATAAAACGGTGTCAGTAAGACGTGAGATGACCCTGTCTGGAGGCAGCGAACGAGCCAGCGACATGTCCGGCCAAACTGTGCTCACAGCCGAGGACGTGGATATTGACGTAGTGGGCGAGGGAGATGAGGAGGGCATGGAGAGGGTGGACAGCGACTGCGACAGCCCAGGAGACGGCATCTTGCACGACCTCCGGGGGGAAACGGGAGACGAGGAGGTGGAAGACGAGATCGAGGTGGAGAAAGAGGAGATGAGGTCCGGGGTAGGGAGTCCGTGCTGCGAGAGCGCAGGGGAGGCAGAATCAGGCACCGGAAAAGGAGAGGGTCACGACCAGAGCGCAGCGCCAGGTGCGATCCAGAAACCCAAGAGTAGCCTGGTAAAGCCGCCTTACTCCTACATCGCACTTATCACCATGGCTATCCTGCAGAGCCCGCAGAAAAAGCTCACCCTCAGCGGGATCTGCGAGTTCATCAGCAACCGCTTCCCTTATTACCGTGAGAAGTTCCCGGCGTGGCAAAACTCCATCCGTCACAACTTGTCTCTCAACGACTGCTTCATAAAAATCCCCCGGGAACCTGGTAACCCCGGCAAGGGCAACTACTGGACCATGGACCCCGCTTCAGAGGACATGTTCGACAACGGCAGCTTCCTCAGGAGGAGGAAAAGGTTCAAGAGAGTTCAGCCAGATGTGCTCAGGGACCAGACTGCTCTCATGATGCAAAGTTTCGGGGCGTACAGTCTTGGAGGGCCCTACGGGAGACACTACGGTATCCACCCGGCGGCGTATTCCCATCCGGCTGCTTTGCAGTACCCGTACATCCCCCCTGTAGGTCCCATGCTGCCCCCGGGCGTCCCTCTCCTGCCCTCGGCGGAGCTAAACAGAAAAGCGTTCAACTCTCAGCTCAGCCCGAGCCTTCAGCTTCAACTCAGTAGTCTCAGCACGGCGTCTATGATCAAATCAGAGCCTTCAAACAGACCTTCATTCAGTATAGAAAATATAATCGGGGTGTCCAGTGCCTCCTCTTCCTCGCCGGGCGCAGCTCAGGCTTTCCTGCGGCCTCCTGTCACCGTTCAGTCGGCCCTGCTGAGCGCGCAGTCCCTCTCTCTGACCCGGACCTCAGCCGCTATCGCGCCCATCCTCAGTGTACCTTCAAATATTATTTCTGGACACGTTTTACCCTCAGCGACGGCGGCGGCAGTGTCCAAATGGCCTTCACAATGACTTCAAACCGAAGAGAAAGCAAACTCTTATTTTTATATAGAGACATTATTACTGGGAAGTGTGAAAAGCACAAATTTATAGGCAGCACTGGACTGTAAAGCCATGTAAAGACTGTTGAAAAACAGAGAACAAAAAACGAAAAAGAAGATTTTTTTCTGTACAGGTAATATTTGTAAATATTTGTATAAAAAAAAAGACAAATGATTTTGCCAGTTTGACTTTTACCTGTTCCTTTCTCCCCTTTGTTCCTGTTTGAGATCTGTGGTAATTATTTTACGTTTTTTTCTCCTTTCTTTTTGTAACAGAAGCTCAACTGGACATAGTTACTTTGGCTTCTTTTTCATACAAGACACAAAACCTCTGGAAAAAAAGAGACTGTTTATAATAATAATTTTAAAAAAATACAAATATATGTAATTCTATGTAGCTATATTGTGTTGTAAACTGAATTTATTTGTAAATAAATCTAAGAAAGAATTAAAAAAAATCAATTTTCATTATTAACATTCTTAACATTTTTGACACGTGATTTGAGAAAAAAATAGCATTATTTCCAGGGAACATTTTTCACGGTAAAAAAAATAGTACATTTAATTTGAATAACTTTACAGTTCGTGTAAAGCATACATTATTAATATTCCTACATAAAAAAAAATCGAAGCTCTCTTATTTTGTTGTCTATTTTCAGGCTTAAAAATATCGAATATATAAAATATTAATAATAATAATATAACATATGTTTTTAACATTACTTTCAATTTTTCATTTTATCAGCATAATTCAAAGTATTTCATTATTTAGAAATTGAAATAGAAAAAAATGAGTTATACTTTAGGGCAACACTTCCTAAGGATTAGAATTTTAAAAATTGTTGTTTTTTTTACTGCTGTTGCGATTGACGTGGTAGCGTTTAAAAACATATTTAAAGTTACAATTTAACAATAGTATGCTAATAAGAATAACTAAAAATACTGACAAAGGTGTATGAATAATATGTAATCGTAAATTTTAAAATAAAAATAAAAAAAACTTGTAAAAGCTTTGAGATTAGCTTGCTATAGAGTAAATTCAATCCTGAAAATTTGCGCGTATAGCCTACCTTATATTTAGGCTTTTTGCAGGAAGGCATAAATCTAATTTGTATCATATTTCAGATGATGGGATGTGGCATAAAGAGGTGAATATTGATCACAAATCAGTGTAGCTGTTTATTAAAGTATTTACCCTGGAATTTCCTGACAATGCTCCCTGACAGGAGGTTACAGTTTAGACCACAGGTTCACCATCACATCACACGCTGTATGCTTTTGCGCGATATTCTGCGGCTTGGCTCCTATAAAGGTAACAATTTCGCAGTTGTGTCTGGCTAATCACTTTTACACAAACAGCAAGTGGTGTGCGTGTGTGCATATGAAAGCGAGAGTGTGAATGTGTAAATGTGTGTGTGTGTGTGAGAGAGGGCGAGAGAGACAGAGAGAAAGAGGGTGAGCGCGAGGGGTTTTAGGGGCTATATTTATCTGATCCCCATGGGAAAGAGAAAGAGGCCTCTCTCTCCGCTCCAATTCACTTTCAGACACCGAAGAAGGTGCTGATGATGCAAAAGTCTTCTCCAATGTCACCGTGACATTTCTACTTACTAAATTCATTATTATTCAGACTATTGATATTATTCAAATTACCTACAGCAGTGACTGTGATGTTATTATTTTAAAGACCCAGCCAGTCTTTGATTATTTGTCTACTGAAACATAAAAATAATATATAAATTAAAATGTGAGACATTGTCTGCATTGCACTGCCCGTAATAGATTTCTGATCATTTCTGCCATTTTTCCTTGCCATTCGATTATACGATTCTAAAATGACAAGGCATTAAATATAGCAGGCTCTAAAATGAAGTGATGGCTAAAGAGTACAGTTAGAGAAAGGTGAGTGAAATTTTGGGGGATGCACAAATACTCAGAGAAAGCATCAAATTTTAAATACCAAAAAGACTCAAACTTGCACTTGTTGAACCTGTTTATTTAAACCTCTAATTTATTTCTTGTGTGAGGTGTGTACATGGCTACGAGCGGGGATTCAGACTCCACAAAGCAACATTAAACCAGTCTCGCGTGTCTGTCTTATAGGATGCGAGCATCTATAATTACACTTGCAGTGTTGCAGTGTGAAGCCCCGGTGTGAGATCTTGCAACAGGAGCGATGTTGCAGGCTGACAACACCTCGAGGCCGTGACATCCATGCCGCTAGGGGGCGTCAACATACACCTGCGGCTCTTAATTAGGGTGATCATAAATAAAATAAATATTTGTGAAAACCTGAAATAATACATCAACATTTCCCACCTAATTTTCTTTCTTCTTTGTACACACACTTCCTGCTGAACAAATTTATCCGAGTAATCTAACTGCAAATTTGATTTTAGATATTAAGTGATGTTTTACCATTGTTTTTTTAAGTTTGTAGTAACATTGTAGCAGAGTATCTGCAAGTGTTTTTTTTTTTTCCTTTAAGCTAAAATTGGTAACGTTAATTGTGTTCATATTTAAGATACAACACAGAGAGGAAACACCGAAAGCAATGCTTTTGGTAACGACAGAGCACTAAATTCCTGAACCGAAGCTGCAGTGCTGAAAATACAGGCATGAACAAGATTTTAACATGGGTTAAAACAGCTGCTTTAGCAGCACGGGCCTACTTAAAGGCTAAGCTAGTGCAATAATAACAATAACAGAGTTAATGAATATTATTAATATTATTATTACTATTATTAAAATTATGCTGCGTTAGCTTAAAGTTATTTCTTACTTGTTGTTTCATCAAAACCAAGCGCAGTTTCGTGTAATTATGGTGCAAATTATGGCGCACAATTTGCTGAACGAACGAAGACGCTCATTTATAGACGCTCGCGCGCCCGCCCGCACGGGCGCACACGATAATGAGTCATGCAGCTGCACGTGCTTGTGCACAGGTGGAGAAAAGCCTGGGTTGTAGTTCCCACAGCTCCACCAGACAGGCTATATTAGTCTCCAAGCACAATCTGTAAATACAGCTCTTTTTTGTATTTTTGTTTTGTTTTGTTTTTTAGTGCTGATTGTGCTTGCGGCTATGATAGGTAACAAATCCTTTTTAGTATATTATCAATGCATAAATGTGTCCAGTCAGCATTCGTGATATAAAAAGAGGTCACAGCTCTTTTTGAACCTAAAATTTGATTATTGGGAAAAACAAAAAACAAAACATAACACACAAAACCTGCAAGTTTCCAACTTTAAAGTGGAAATATTCCAGGGATTCAGTGTCAAACATAGTCATTCCCTACTTTATTCTAACTGTGTGTATTTTTATTTTTACTTGGATCTCTTTTGTGTTAGACATACGTTTGTGCTGTCCTGTGTGAACAAAAAAAAACGTAAAAGTGAAAGGGAAATTTCTGAAGAGCTATACACAGAAAACTGAAAGGGAGAAATTATCACTGCCCGTTGAAGTTGCTACAACTCTTAAGTTCAAAGTGCGTGAGGTAGATTAAGAAGGAATATTTTATAGAGAAATTGAATTAATATCCAACATAATGCACTTTATTTTTCACAGTACAACCTTTAAAACCAAAAACTTACAATGACTGATGTTACAGTATGCTGCTTAGTATGTGTGATCAATATTAGCTGCTAGAGCAGTGTATAGTAATCTGTAACTCTGTATAAGTTTTAGCTTTCAGGTTTGGGACTCAAGCCCACGCACAAACTGTGGCCTGCTAAAGTAAAACAAAAACATCCTGTAGCAGGTTGGGAAATGACATCACTGCAAACAATGATGCATGAAAAATATCTCAATTTGTCCATTCACTGAAACCCAAGTAAACAGTTGCACAGGAATATATAATAGTGATTTGTCCACTTGCAGTGAGGCTTGGTAGAGCTCATGAGCCCATTTAAATCCTCCTTTCTGTCCCATCGAAAGGCAAAAATGGCTGTTGAACTTCATTTGCATTTAGTTTTTATCTGTCTTGTCCAAGTACACAAATTTAGTGTTTAAGAGTGTAATGATGCTGCAATCTCAGAAGCCAAAATTCCACATTTTGCAGGACCCTATGGGGGTGGATAGTGTGTCTTCAACAAACCAGAGAAGTCTCTGATCCATGCAGAACATTAAACATCTGGGTGATGATATTGTTCAAAGTAAGCTGACCTTGACCTTTGTTTCAGAGAGAGGATGCCAAGTATAACTGAAAGACTGAACCAGAGTGACACAACACCCTCTGGATGTAGGCTTTCAAAGCCTAGCACAGAAATGAAATGCTATTAAGTGCACACAAATAGTGCAGGATTTTTCCAAATGCCAATTAATTATGCACTCAAGAATGAATCTGAAAAAGTGCAGGACTTCTTTATCATCACAATTCCCAAATAAGACATAATAGGAGAAATCTCTATGAAGTTCTGGATTTATTGATCCGGCTTGACTTGCTGTAGCAAACATGACTGTTGACATGATAGACTTTAGTGACATTGGGAAGCAAGGCCTAGGCCTTTAATAATAACTAGGTCATCCTGCACCACAAGCTATAGCCTTCTCCTGGGCGGAGATTACAGACAGTAAATGTAGGTACAGCAGTTGCTGAATATTTAAAAAGGCATAGAGATGAAGCAATAAATGACAAAGTAAAGCTGGCGTGGCTGGGCATTAATAACTAATGGGTACCAGTGAGTTATAGGCTGCTGCTGTTGTAATGAAAGTGTCATTGCAAATCAGCAGTTGTCCGAGGTTATTATTATTTATGCATAATTGATGCCAGAACCACAAGGAATATGTCTCATCCAACAAACCCTAACACCTTGAGAACAAAGATGATGGTGTCAACAAAAGAAAAGGTCACAAAGAGAAAAACGCCCTCTGGCTTGGATTTAGCCCACAGTGTACAGGGAAGACAAGGAAAGGATGTGATACCCATATCTACATCTGTGTACAGAAGATTAACACAAACTAATACATTAGTTAGACTGCCGCCCCTCTGCTGCTGATTATATAGTGGATTTTTTTCAGTCACTTTGATATAAATTTTGTGAAATCAGCTGTTCCTGAGCTATTTGCAAAGACTTAGAATTAAGCATTTGTTATGACAGCAACAATTTCCAGTTTGGCATGGATGCTTGCTTCTTTAATGTCCAGACTTATTGATTCCATGTGCATCCATTTTATCTGCCAATTTGTTTGTTCTGCTTCCACATACCTCCAAATTTGCAGAAAACAACTAAAATTATAAACTGTATAGTATTATAATGTTTTTACTTTCTTGGATATAATTTGAGATTTCAAAAATGTTTCATAGTCATATTTATATTGATAAGAAATTTTAAAATGTTTTTCATTATAAATGTAATCATGTTATGTGGATATTGTAGACTATTGGAATTGACAAATTCATATTCCTGATTATCATTGTTATTCCTGAAATGAAAAGAAACGGGAAAACACATAGAA